GCGCCCGCCGCCGCCGCCGCCCCCTCGGTGACCAGGAAGCTCTGCGCTGAACTCCGGCGCGAAAAACGTCTCCTCTATCTCCGGGACTTGAATCTCCACAGTGCAAATAGAATGCATGGACCCCTCGCGAGGAGCGCGTCCAGCGGGAGATGCACCCGCAACTTCAAAGCTCCAGGACCTGCAAAGAGAAAAGTTCAAACGATAAGAGGAACATTTCACACAGGGCGGAGGTGGGAGGGCCGCAGCCTGGGTCCAGTTTAGAAGTTCATAATACATTTGTCATGGCCGCTTACACACACACACACACACACACACACACACACACATCTGCCTGCTTTTTCCGAGCCCTTAATAAATATTTGTTGAATGAATGGGCTGTTGTGTTTCTTGAATAATTGATCCTGGAACACTCCCGTGCCCGAGCATATGGCTAAGGGAAGGTTACTGCGCCTGGCGCTGCGCTTGTGTTTCACAGACCCTGCTTCCCCAGGGGAGGACCTTAGCTGTCCTTTCCAAAGTTGGTTGATCAAACTTTTGGGGGACAGAAAAAAGGAGAGGTAAGGAAAGCAGAAAGTGCTGAGATTAGGGTTGATTAAAATGCTAATCTCCAAAATTCTGTGTGTTTACCATATAAATTAAACAGCATTTGTATTCAAAAGAGGTTTGGTGCTTAAACTATAACTCTGGGGAGGTCAAACTCATCAATATTAAACATGTCACTGTTGTGTTCCCGTACAAAAAGGAAAAGGACAAAAAGGAAACCAGTCCGCACAAAGACAAAATCGGATACTGTGCTGTTAACCACATTTTCCCAAGCAAGTCCTTCCAGGTACAGTTTGTCCACTACCAGGGCGTCCTCACCTTCTCGCCTTAATATTAATACAAATACTTTCTCTCATTGTACATTTTGTTATGATTTTAATCATTAAATTTACTTACCCATATTTTAAAAGTATTTTTAAACATCATTGGCACTGAAAAAAGCTCCAGTCAGTAAGCTAAAAGTGGCATTCATCAATAAATGTGACAAGCATTTATGTTAAAAGTTCATGTTAATTACTATGGAAACATGGAATAGCTATCCAACTCGGTAGTTTTTTTTTTTTTTCAGCTTTAATCGAGTTTATTGGTACATTTTAGGTATACAGTACAGTTACATTCATTGTTGGGATCTTGTACCTCTACATGACAAGTCTTGGTTCTCATTTTTTCCCCTTGTCCCTGCCCTCCCTTCACCCCCTCCTCCCCTCCCCATCTACAAACACTTTATTTCCATCTTTTCATTATCTCACATTTTTTCCAACTTGGTAGTTTTTAAAGCAAACCCAGACAAGGAGAAAGTTCTACAGATTCTGTAATGCAGTTTAAATGTGGTGAGCAAAAGTGTAGTCTCCCTTTGCCAGTTGTGACCCAACATTTTAAACCTCTCTTCTTAAGCATCTTTATGAAAAGGAAAAACTGGCCCTATAAGTCTTTGGTAGAAAGGCACAGGCAGCAATTATTAATAGTCTTTTAAAATTATGATCTTAAAAATACGTGTAACGTCAGGGGCTGGTAGCCAGCTATCCAGAGGTGACCCTTTTGAGTAAAGGATTTGGGGAAATCAACTTTAATAACTTTGCCAGGGTAATAACCCAGTCTCCAAGCAATTCCGGAGGACTTGAAAAGCCTTTGTCTCACCTCTTTCAGTGCATTGCTCTCCTTTCTCCTAGAATCCAGACTCCCCAGAGGGCACAATTTGCCTGTGGATATTAAAATTTTCTGCTTCTTTGAATGCTAAGACACTTTGAATCTTGATTCTTGCTCTTTAACAGAACAACTCTGATTCTGAGCTATTTATTTCCTTACTATTTTCTGTAATATATTCTGGAAGTTGAGGGGATAAGAGGGGAGGAGGGATTGGTGGTTTTTCACATCCATTGAATTGGAAACCACAGGTGGCAGTGGTACCAGCAGGTCACAGCTGACAAAGCCCACCCATAAGTGTGGCATCCAATGCAGGTAGACACACTCAGCCCAGGAATACTTAACATGTGCTCTCAGTTCAGAAAGACTCCGAGAATTTTCCATGTTCTTGTAGCAGCAAAAAGCAATATTTGAGCCCACAAATTTAGGTCCCAAATTCCTATAACAGCTCCACATCATTTGCTCTTTAGGGGACATGCGAATACTATAAAGGCAAACTGCAAAGATTTGCCAAAGAGTTCCTTGGTATTTAGGAATCGCAGAGATGCCCAGAATATGACCTAAGCTTAAGTCCACTTGACCAAGGGTGTCAGGGCTTGTGATGTAGCTTAATGGTAGGGCACATGCCTGGGTTTGGTTCTCAGCAGTGCACACACACACACACACACACACACACACACAACCATATCTGAGGTTGGAAAAATATATTTAACAGATACTTAGAGATGCCACCTCATACTCAGCCACTGCCTGTATGTCCAGATACAGACAAGAAATGGGCAAATGTGACCAGCCCCTGGGTTGAAAGATCTAGCTGGTGTAACTGTGGAAAAGTCTTCATTAGTAGCACCCAAAAAGGTCACAAAAAACTGTACATAAAACAAAATGCAGTTCTACCCATTTTCCAGCAGAGGAAATTGCATATGGACTTTAAACATAAAAGTAGTGGGCTGGGAGTATTACATGGTGATAGTATGTGTGCTCAGCATACACAAGGCCCTGAGTTGGATTCCCACAACTGTCCCCAAATAAATACATAAATAAAAAATAATACATGGAGTAAGTATAGGTTGGAAAACTTTAAACAAGTATTGAACTCTACTTCATAATATGTATGCTGCAAAGCTGTGATAAATGTACTAATCTCTGCAACTTACTCTAAAATGTATCAAAAACAAAATGCTTTAATGGCTGCATGGACAGTTATATGATAAAGCAAACCTAGGAAAATGTTAATTGTATCATTATGTGATGATATATATTATAGGATAAGAAGTTCAACTTTTATGTATGTTTGAAATTTTTTATACTTCAATATTGGAAAAGAAAGCAGGTTTCAAAAAATGTGTAAATTTCTTATCCTTTTTGTAATTAAAATTACATAATGGTTAGGATTCCGTAAACCCTAAATGTGTTCTGGGGTACAGCTTAGTGGTTCAGCACTTGCCCAGCGTGTGCAAGGCCAAGGCCCTACATCTCAAAAAACACAAAATAAAGTCAAATGTCTTTGATAAGTTGTCAGTTTTGTTTTGTTTTTGGTACCAGGTATCAAACTTGACTTCGTGCTTGCTTGCAAAGTAGGCGGTGGAACCACTGAGCTAAATCCCAGGCCTCGATAATGGTTTTTTGAGGGCTTTCATTGCTTTCCTGTTTTCTTGGCATCAGTAGAATGTTTTAGACTCGTTAATACAACAAATTTGTATTTTAATTATCCAACTCATCATCATCTTTGCAAAATGATCTTCCCTTAAAAAAGACAACTTTTCTGTCTTGGAAGCAATTTCCCAACTGCTGCCTGCATAATTTACCTCTTAGTCCTGACTGTTCTCCAGAACCCACTTCCTGGAAAACCCCTTGTCTCTAGCCACATCCGACACACCAGAAACTCAAACTCTCTTTTCTTACATATCAATTCCTCCTTTTTTTTTTTTAATAAATCAACACAATTACTTCGTTGCCCAATGGAGTTGTTACCGACTCCCTCCCCTCCCTCAGTGCCCAGAACCCACCACTGTAGCTGACTTCTCTGTTCTTCCTCCTTCGTGTCTCAGTGAACCATGTGTGTCTCCCCTTCCAAGGTCATGCCTGCTGGTTCCAACTCCCATCTGTTCTCCCCCATTACCATCAATACATCTCGACTAGGACTGACTTTGCTCTCTGGGGGACTTTGGCATTGTCTGGAGACATTTTTTGGTGTTGAAATGGAGAGGGGCAGCTGCTAAACAGCACACGGGACAGCGCCTCCCACACCACGAAGAATGGCCCAGCCAGAGGCCAGGAGGCTGTGGTTCAAACGCCTGCTTTGTGATGAAGCCCCTCCTGGCTGACAGTAACTATTTACTGAGCAACTGAAAAAATGAAGAAATCAAAATTATATCTCCCAGGATACCAACTAATCAGAAACATGAAGGCAGAACATAACAGGACACACAAGATTTCAAACAACTGTATCTCTAGTGCCTGATATCTTAAATGAGGAATTAACTATTTTCTAAGAAATCTGGAGTTCCATGAACCTACAATCTTTATAAATAGTCCAAATCCTTGAGTACTTGACAACATTATAGAAAGACCTTGCTCTTACCACCAATTTCCATAATTTAAAGACTGAATTCCTAGCACACTTGAGTTTTCTGCTTCCTGTTTTGCTGGAGGTTAAACCCCAACACTGGCACACCTCAGACCCCCACCCCAGCTCTCTTTTCTTTTTCCTTCATTGAACTCCTGAGCTGAGTCCCCAGTCCTTTTTTATTTATTTATTTTTTATTTTATTTTAAGACAGAGACTCACTACATTGCCAAGTTGCCCAGGCTGGCCTCAAACTTTCTCCATCTTCCTTCCTCAGCCTCCCAGAGTGCTGAGATTATAGGCATGTGCCACCACACCTGACTCTCAAAGGTAATAGTGCACCAACAAGTAATTAAGCAGCTTTCCATTTTTACCACCATCATTCATTTTATCATCAGTGTTGTGTTTGGAAATAAAATGTTTAGACAACAGAAAAAAATCAAATATCACTTTCTCAAGCAAGAGAGAATGCACTAAAAAACTGTTTTTCTATTAGAAAAGAGTCAAAGTAAGGGGAAAGAATTTTAGACCACTTAGGTTTCTTCCCGCTACAAATGGAACATTATCTCCTAACCTCTGGAAAATTCATCAGCTTTCTCTGAAAACCTCCCTGTTAATTAAGCATGCCTGCACTCTAGTTCAGATCTTAAATGTCCCCCAAGGGCCCAGCTGTTAAAGGAGTGGTTGGAGCCCATCTTGCTATTGGGAGGAAGGGGAACCTTGACAAGGCAGGGCCTAGTGGGAAGGTCTCCGGTCATAAGCAGTGTGACCTCTAAGGAGATTTGGGGATCCCAATCCCTTCCTCTTTCCTTTTCACATCTGGACTGTGAAATGAGTCATTTTACCATGTGCTCCAACCATGAAGTACTCTGCCTCACCCAAAAGCTGAAAAGCAACAGAAAACCTGTTAACAAAAGAACCAACCCTCCATGGGAAAAAAAAAAAATCTCCAAAACTGTGAGCCAAAATAAATCTTTCCTCTTTTTATTTATATTGTCATTATTGTTTTATTTTATAGTGGG